TGGCTGGAGTGAGATTTTCAATTCGAGATGTCTGCACACATGTAACAGTTCTTTACATTGTAAAGAAACCTTGTAAATAGTTTGCTTTTGTATTTAACCGTGTAAATACACTTTTGACGTAGCTAATTTTAGGTTTTATAATAGAATAATATAGATTTGCCGTAAAGATTTCCAGCATGAGTCTGAGTGTCAAGCCAGATGCTTGAGATTTGGCAACCGTGAAAACGTACATTTTTTGTTTCACATGAGTTTATTTATATAACAGATAACATTACTTTATACATAAGTTAAAATGCAGAAACTTCAACGAACATGAAATCAACAATAAACTACGTATATTTATCCAACGTGTTATATAATACATATTGTACGTATTTGAAAACTTTTCAGCTTTACGATTTCAGGAGAGCGCAGCCATTCTGTTAGGAACATTACGCTTTTTGTTTGCGGGTGTTAGCTTCGCTGCTGCTATTAACACGAAAGGCACATTAGCGCAGACAAAGGGCTGCATACGCCGAACTATACGTCTTTCTTGGCGGTCAAAGGCGTTTGATGTTCATTGGCGTGGGAAACGGCGGTTCTACTGATAAACCACTACCGAAAAGACTACAAACGCTGTGCCGGTTAAAATAAAAGCGCCCCGTCAGGTTTTAAATAATAAGTAAATGTTTTGGCTGTCGGTCCGGGTCCGTATGGGACAGCTTCTGGGTCCGGACCCGGACCGCGGTTCGCCTGTTAGTGACTGCTGATGTAGACGATACACATATGGGTTAAAACATCATTGATTGCAAAACAATACTGTGCCAAGTATTAATTAACAAAATAACAAGTATTCACAGTAAAGACATTTTACAGCACAAAACAGAGTAAGGAAACATTCAATAACTCTATTTAAATAGATTCTGCTAAGCTAAGGAAACGTATAGCTAACTAAAACACAGGGTTGCCAATTCTCACACATCTGGCGTGACACCGTTTCAGACTCTCATGAAACAAATCTTACGGCAAATCTATATTATTCCATTATAATCCTACAATAAGCTGCATCAAAAGCGTTTGGGGAACTTTGCAAATCACACAGAATATTTACAAAGTAATAAGACTGTTTCATATATGTAAATGCGTGTGCATGTGTGTGTAGACATGTCTCGAATTGAAAATCTCATTCAGCCAGCTAACCAAAGTTGGCAAACCTGAAAACATTTTATGAAAAAGATACATTTCAAATATTTAAACTGTTTACATTTGGAATAAAAAAACAAAATGCAGCCACAGAAAAAATTAAGCGACCACAACATAATTTTTCTCTCATTTCTCAATTTATGGGTGTGCATCTGTGAATAATGTTTTTTTTTTTTTATTATTATTTTGCAAACTGCAGCCTGGTTCTTCTCTCTGTCTCTCATTAATGAAGGGCTTCATCCTTGCTTTATGGGACTTCAGTCCTGCTTCTAGAAGCCTGATACATACTGTCTTAGTAGTACACTTCACACCTGCACTTAATATTTCCCATTCCTTTTAAAGGTCGCTTGATGCCATCCTATGATTCCTGAGAACCTGTTGGATAAGCTAACGGTCATCTCTGGCATTAGCAAGTCTCTTCTTCTCTTAATTTTTTCCATGGCTGTATATGTAACGTTGCTTGTTAATAATGATATGGTCATACATAAGTTCAGAATATTATGCTTTAAGTTCTATTTAATACATAACTCTAGTTATGTAATTACTTGAGGTGGTTAAAACTGTAGGATAACAGATCTCTTATTAATTGTAACGTAACAGATGTGGTGATTTATTGATTTTTGGTGAACTTTATTGGTAGATGGAGGAGCTCGGGGAGAAGTTAATAAGAGAATTGCCCAGAGAGTCACAAGTCATCGCCTGCCGCTTTTCCTTCCTGACCTGGCCCTCAGCTTCCACTGAGGGCTCTGGGCTGGACCAGGTCTGGGCCTATGACATCGACAGTATCCGCAGGCTTGCGCCTGTAATGTCAAAACCATCCACACTACCTGCAAAGCTCCATTTTTAACCTATACAGCATCTGCACTGTTCCCCTCAAATCAGACCTGTGATCAAGATTTACTCTAAACTAAGAGCAAAAACAATAAGCTGAGTGTGTATTTATAACATCATATATTTTCAGGAATGCTTCCTTAACTGTTATCTGTATTCACATCCACATCCAGCATGTACAAAGGCATGTGTAATTGGTGCATGGGTCACATTATGGGTGCTCTGTGTAAGGCATTTTCCCTTCAATACACCTGTCAGTGTGTTACGCAAAATGGTCACACAAAGTAATAAACCAAGCCTAAGCAAAATAAAGGTTTTGTATCCTGCTTGTTAAGATGGTGGATATTTTTCTCGTTTTCTGCAAATGCTTCTTATGTCCATGGTGCTTCTTCAGTGGCAATGGGACCTTCACTACTCACAGTGAAACTCGGAAGGTTCCTCAGCTGGGCTCTGTTCATCAGGGAAGATGTAATCTTCATCAAAACGGCAATTTTCCTCAAAAGCGACACTGTAGTTGCAGTAGATGTTGTCGACCTCATTGAGATACGTAGAGGGATCCCCTAACTCAGAGTCATAACTCTCACCAGCTTCTCTGATTAGGCCCGGTCCCGTATGCTGGTTGATCTCCAAGCTGTTGCCGAAGTTCTCGTAAATCGCGTCATGGTTTTCCTTCAAGTGAATCTCATGGTGCTGATGAACAGTGGTGATGGGAGGTGGCCTGGATTGATACACAATGCTGCTGGTATATAATCCCGGTACTTCCATGAAATCTTCGCTGCGGCGCCTTTTGGGCAGCACGCGGCACCTGAAAACGCCTGTGCAGATTATGATGGACAGGAACATCGCACCTGCCGCTGCCGAGGCCTCCACAGTCCCCCACTGTAACGATGATGGCATGGATATGATGGCAGTCTGTATGTGGATGCGGTGATCACCTAAGAGCGAGCCAAAGGGAGGAAAGATTTACATCAGATGTTAGATGGTCATGCGATATCTACTGACAGATATTGTGCTCCAGAGCATTAGATTAGTATCTGTTAGAATAAAAACAAGTATTAATTTTTCTAAACACTCATCCAGTATAGAATCATGGGGCAAAGGCCTGGGGCTGATTCCAGGCAGCGTGAAGCACAAAACAGGGGAATACCCAAGACCGAGCACAAGTCCATCAAAAGGCACAAATATTAAAGACATTTTAGAGATGCATGTCCGCAGATTGTATGAGGAAACCCACACAGCACAGCAAGAACATAGAAACTGCATGTGTGGAGTAGGTCTGGGATTCAAACCCCAAATGTGAAGTAATTGCGTTACAGAATAAGCTGCCTACAGACTGCTGCATCTCAAGATCATTTTATGGTGTAAGTTTTTTTCTGCAAAAAGTTATATTTTGCAACATAAATGCTTTAACCCAAAAATATAATAAATGGCCTATATAGAGTCAGATTATTCAGCTGTTTTCTTAATTGACTTCTAAATATTCATTATAATCATACTTATCCGCCTCGCTAATATTCTTGAGTCACTCATATAACTATATATTTACAAATTTTCATTTGGATTATTCAAAAGTAGACATACCTTGAGATTACTTTATGTCTCTTACGAAGTATAATTAGTCTGAACTGGCTTGTGACGAACTTTCGAAATGATTGGGGGTCAATATCAGCTCACTGTTTTCTATGATCTCAAAATATCTCGACACGCCTCCTCGCTCTCTTCCGTGTAGGGAAAGCTTTTGAAAGTACTGTTATTTTTCATTTCGTAATTATTTCATGACGTCACTATAAAATACGTTCGTTGATAGATTTGCGCAGAATGACAACTCTTGAAGTTTACTAAAATGTTGATATACGTATCTATTATCTTCTTAGGCAGGTCCATCTGAAAAAAGACAAACGTAAGGTGGGCTGCAGTAGAACACATTGACCGCAAGATGGCGATAAGTTTCAGCTCGAGAGTCTGAACTTGGATCAAGCAGTAATTTCTGAGCTTATTCTCTGGCGTAAAACTGTGGGGTGAAAAATGTTATTTTGTGTCTGCACAGCAGTATAAGAAAAGTAATTATTCTCAGAGGATATTAGCTATTACAGAAATGAGGCCCTCATATCTACTGTATGTCTAATTCAGTGTGTCACGATTTCATTGGATGCTCATAGTACAGGGTTGACGTACAAAGCAGAATAACAGTTCTATGGCCCACCACACGGCGGCGTGTCCCTCATACAATTTTGCGCTTGTCTGCTTTCTTCAAATTTACAAACCATAATTAGGAACCGATCACACTATGTCAGAACTTATTTAAATGTAATATTTCTTTGTGATATACAGATATAACGTATTATTATTATTATTATAGCAAATGAGGCATAACCTGGCTTCACGGGTGTCATATATTAACTATTAATTATTTATATTCTTTATACTTATTTTAGTACGTAGTTTTTGTATTCAACAGTACCCCTTGGCTGCATGTTTAGTGTTTCTCATGTTTCTCTGTATGCACTAGCACTACGTGCGTTTTCATTCAGAGACGCAGAAAGAGCGAATCCCTCGGAGGAGCTGACGTCACACAGCCAGACAAAGGGGCCGGACGCGGCCGTATAAAAGACGCGAGCGCACCTTCTCCGCACGGTTTCGGAGTCTGCTCTACGGGAATCCTTGGGGATGGATGTACTGAGGAATACCAATTATCAGACAGCGACGAACAACAAAATGTGTGAGCAGCCCCTGAATAAATCCAGTGAGTTTAAGAGAAAGAAAGCGGAGGACCCTGGCCACGTCCAAGCTGAGATGTCGAGGATCATCACGGATTCCGTGACAGGGAGACGGTACTGCCGTGGAAAAGTTCTGGGAAAGGTAAATTGCCCTGGAAATAAATGCACACAATGGAACATACAAAATCTCGTGTTTCGTCAGAAAAGAACGCCTTTTACAAAGATGGCAAACACTTTAATTGTGTTTTTATTTTATTGTATTAAGACAAGTACGCTTTAAAGACCTGAATCGTTGACAAGAGCACGAGTTAACAAATATGATCAACCTGCTGAGTTCTAAACATCGCATTTCATAAAACAGCGATAATCAACATAACCGTGGCGTGTTATCTGTCCGATTTTTAGGGAGGTTTTGCCAAATGCTACGAGCTGACCGACCTGACCACCAACAGAATATATGCTGCAAAGATCATCCCTCACGCGCGTGTCTCCAAGCCGCACCAACGGGAAAAGGTACCAGCCGCTGCATGTTGGTTTTGGTGTGTTATATCTGGGTGTCGTTGCTTTAGCCAGTGATAAGTCAATTAATGATAGATCGCTTTCTTTGGCAGATTGACCGTGAAATTGACCTTCATAGAGCTCTCCGGCACAAACACATCGTCCACTTCTACCACCACTTCGAGGATAAAGAAAACATCTATATTCTGTTGGAATACTGCAGCAGACGGGTGAGTGGGCTCCTCAGTAAAAGCTTTAGATTTTAGCATGGTTTTTACCCCTCATTTTTCGCTCATTCCTTTTTTGAATGAGTTGTTTTCTATCGACAAAAATGCAATACATTTTAAATGACAGACCTTAATCAGTCCAGTTCGTAATCGGTAGTACAGCAAATGTGGCACAGATTATATTGACTCGGTATCAGAATCGACCGACTCTCCGGATGTCCAAATATCCTCAGTTGCTGTATTTTGATCCCTCCTAGTCCTTGGCTCACATCCTGAAAGCCAGAAAAATACTCACGGAGCCCGAGGTGAGATACTTCTTGCGGCAGATCGTATCAGGGATGAAGTACCTGCATGACCAAGAGATTCTTCACAGAGATCTTAAACTAGGTACATGATGCATTTCTACAACTACTTCCTTACTGATGAGTAATTTAATTTTTCCATTGTTTTGCTGTTTTCACATGTAGATGAATGAAAGTGGTTTATAGGGACTCATTTGTTCACATTTTCACAGGTAACTTTTTCATCAATGAGACAATGGAGTTGAAGGTGGGGGATTTTGGGCTGGCGGCCAAGCTGGAGCCCTTGGGCGACCGCCGCAAGACCATCTGCGGGACACCCAACTACCTCTCTCCTGAAGTGTTGAACAAGCAAGGACACGGATGCGAGTCCGACATCTGGGCTCTGGGCTGCGTCATGTGAGTATTAACGCCATCCTACATCTTACTAAACAGATAATAATGTTATTCCCTTGTTTAAATTTTGAGTTGTGACTTTTCAGTTAGTTCAGTTCATTTAGCTTGGAGTTGGCATGATTTCCTAAATTTACGCTACCTATAGAAGTAATGCCGCAGAGGGAATGGTGGACAGAAGTGTCATTGTGTCGGCTTCTGGGAATGTTACAGTTGGAATCGGACGAACGGCCTGTGTCTCTCTGCAGGTACACAATGCTCCTTGGGAGGCCTCCATTTGAGACCACCAACCTAAAGGAGACGTACAGGTGTATTCGGGAAGCCAGATACACCCTGCCCTCTTCACTGTCCTTCACGGCCAAGCAGCTCATTGCTAACATGCTATCTAAGAGCCCAGAGGACCGGCCCAGCCTCGAAGCCATTCTGCAGCATGAATTTTTCACCCAGGTATGTGTGTGTGTGCCTTGCGGCCGTGTCCGTGTGTTCACCTCATCAGCACTCGGGTGGAGTAATCGCCAGCGTGACGGTCACACTTGACAAGTTTCTGACGGCCTCTTGCAGGGCTTCACACCCGAGCGTCTGCCGTCCAGCTCTTGCCACACGGTCCCCGATTTCCACTTGTCCAGTCCTGCCAAGAATTTCTTTAAGCGGGCAGCCGCCGCCCTGTTCGGAGGCAAGAAGGAGAAGGAGAAGGCGAAGTACTACGACAATATAAGTGAGTGTCTGAATCCTCACCACAGGAATCCTCTCTTTCTAAAATTGTAACCACTGAGACACTGCCAACGGCGTTTTCTGGATTTTTTTCACCGATTGCGGCTACGGCTGGTACACGGTGCTGGTCTACAGTTGCTGCAGTTGGCTAGTTCGGCCTATAACGTGTTGCTTTGACCTGCCTCAAACAGGTAAGCTGACCAAAGAGGAAGAAGAGATCTACAAGCTACGTCATGACCTGAAGAAAACTGCCATTAGCCAGAAGCGCCAAGAGGTGAGAAACACAAATGAGCTGTAATGGGGGGGGGGGGGGGGGGGGGTAGTGTGGCAATCTACAGTAACATGATGGAACAGACTGATCCCATCTTTCTCACCATTTTCCTCTCTGTCCTTCCTTCCAGGACGGGAAGTCTCCTGTGCCTGTCACCACTCAGCCTGTTGCCACAGCAACGGAAAACGCACCACAAATCCGAGACACAATTCGCATGA